GGGCATGCAGGAGACGGCCAATCAATGATTTTCTCTCATCGATGTTTCTATCTTTCCCTCTCCATTCCTCTTTAAAATAAAAAAATATATTTAAAAAAAAGAAAATCAGCAAGGACATAAACAAACTTGACCTAACCTTTATAAAATATTCCACTCAACAACAGCAAAATATGCATTATTCACAAGTGTACCCAGAACATTTACCAAGATAAACCATATTCTGGGCCATAAAACAAATCTTTATAAAGTTACAAGGATTCAAATCACAATAAGTATAATATGTTCTCAAGCCATGTAATAAAATTAGAAATCAGTAACAAAAAAATTTTGGCACCTGGCTGGTGTGGCTCAGTGGGTGAGCATCGACCTATGAACTAAGAGGTCATGCATGGTTCAATTCCTAGTCAGGGCACATGCCTGGGTTTGTGGGCTTGATCCCCAGTGGATGGCATGTAGGAGGCATCCGATCAATGATTCTCTCTCATCATTGGTGTTTCTATCTCTCTTTCCCTCTCCCTTCCTTTTTGAAATCAATAAAAATAAAATTTAAAAAAAATTTTTTAATTAGAAGATATACAACTATTTGGATAAGTAAATAACATTTCTAAATAATCCATGGATCAAGGAAATCCAAAAGGAAATAAGGTATTCTGAACTGAATGAAAAGAAATATAAAACATCAGAATTTATGGCATGACACTAAAACAAAACTTAGTGAGAAATAATGCAATATACAAGATCAGTATAAATATCAACTGAGAGGGGTCTCTCAGCCTGATCTGTCCCCTCTCATAGTTTGGGAGTCCTGAGGGGCAAGCGACCCGGCAATCAGGGGAAGGCGATGCCCCATCACACCTCTGCTGCTGCCACTGCGGGCAACACAAGCCTCGGCTAGCCCTGGTTACCTGAGCCTCAGGCGGCCCTGGGTGGCTGGAGGGCTGAGGGGACTGGGGGGCTATGGAGGCAGGTGCCCCAGCCAGCTGAGGGGACTGGGCACTGCCATCTTATGCCTGTGGGCGCCACCATTTTTGAGGGTGTGGCAGCAATTAGCATATTCCCTCCTTATTGGCTGTGGGTGTCGCCATCTTTGAGGGCAGGGTAGTCAATTAGCATATTCCCTCTTTATTAGGTAGAATGTATAAAGACTGGTGGCTATGAAAAAACATGAGACAGGAAATAAGATGAATGATTCACAGAGTTTAGCTTTCTAATGGCTAAGCTGAAATGGTATGATAAAAAAAAAATGAGAAGGCAATAAACAAAAGAACCCAAGCCTAGTAATGACGCTAGTAAAATGGAATGAAACCTATGATCACTAGACAACACTAACCTTAATTTGGAAAAAGTCATTCAAGTAATGGGTAGCAGAGAAAGGTTGGTGGTGTTCAAAGCAAAGAAATAACACGGAAAATAGGATACATTAGAATTCTACTGCCATCTCCCCCCCCCCCCCCAGCATTTGTGTATACCTTAAGAAGCCCTGTGATAGGCAGTGTTATTACTGCAAAATAAACGTCATAAACCTATTTCATTAACCAATCGTCAAGTTAAAACTTGCTTTTCTAAAATTGGTTAAATTTTAGGAATCATGCCCAACCAGCATGGCTCAGCGGTTCAATGTCCACCTATGAACCAGGTGGTCACAGTTCAATTCCTGGTCAGTGCACATACCCAGGTTGCAGGCTGGATTGATTCCAGTGAGGAGCATGCAAGAGGCAGCCAATCAATGACTCTTCTCATCACTGATGCTTCTATATCTCTCTCTCCCTCTCCCTTCTCTGAAATCAATAAAAATAGTTTTTAAAAGAAAATTTTAGGAATCATGATTCTGTATCTTGTATCAAATAACTAGTATCTATTTCAAACAAACAGAAAATTGTAATTAGAAAATTTTCCTAGATGTTCTTTTATTAACAAGTGCTAATTTCTTTTTGTATAATACCATAATTCAACCAAGTTGTAAATGGCATATAAACATATTTTAGATATATGAAGCATTATCAAATAACTCAAAATTTAGTCATTATTGAATATATTTTATTTTTTTAAATAACATTTATCCATACTTAGAGCTTTCTGTCTTACTCAATTATCTGTTTTTAGAGGACTCTTTGCAAGTTAGTAAAATTTGGGTGTATAAAAACAAATGAATTGGTATGAGAAAGAAAAAATAAAAGGATAATATTTTAATGATATCTTTTAAATATACTAAAACATTTTATAGTATCATTTGAAGGATATTACCCAGTAACTTTAAAAAAGAGTGATATCCAATATATTTTTTATTATTATTTCAAAGTGTTTTTAGTGATTTTTAGAGAGAAAGGAAGGGAGAAGGACAGACATAGAAACACTGATGAAAGAGGAGCATCATTTGGCTGTCTCCTGCAAAACCCCCACTGGTGATCGGGCCTGCAACCTGGGCATGTGCCCTGACTGGGAATTAAACTGGCAACCTCCTAGTACTTGAGTCAATGCTCAACTGCTGAGCCACACCGGCCATGCCAATGTATTTTATTATTAATAAATAAATTAAAATCCAAAGAACTGTATTATAACTTGCCACTTTTAGAAAGGAAGAAATAAAAGTAATTTGAGATTTAAAGTTAGAAAAGGTGGCAAAGGACAATCTAACAATACCTAGATTATTAAGCTAAACATTTTTCATCAGGACATTTCATAATCAATACATTGATAAGAAGACTATGAGATCACTTAGTTGATCTATCTATTATTAAACTGGATTATTCACCTGTTCATAGTAAAGTGAACAAGAAGAAGGATTTCATTTGAATTTAAACAAGTACTTTAGAATGTAAAAGGAATCACATAATACACATTTCATTTACAGTGCATTTTTTCAAGCATTCCAACCTTACTCAGAAATAACACAAGATATTCAAGTGTTTTAAAATCAAAGGCCTTTAATTCAGTTTTGAGTAATGACCATAAATGCCTTCACAAAACATCTTTATCACTGAAAACAGAAGGCACTAGGCATTACTTAACACCCTGAAGCAGTGATTTCTTCTGATGCTGGTGGAGATAAACACTAAATGGCAGATTTTAGATGTTAGCAATGTCTCCCAAAAAAAGGGGGGGGGGTGTAGGGTGGGGAAACAACTCTGAAAACCACACAAAAAATTAAGTGACCAATCAGTCTTTCTCAAGTTCCCAATGAAATTTTAAATTATTTTTTACAAGTAATTCAAAATTAATAGATAAACCAGGTTAAGTATCATAGGATTTTCAACATTTGTTTGGTTTTAGTTAAATACAGTAAATATAAAGATAATTATTATGCTAATTGGCAGCCTTTGATACTCTTTAGCTATGCAAAATAAACTTGAAATGATACATCTGTAGTGGTATAATTTAAAAGATCCTTGATATGACACTAACAACTTTCAAATTCTAGTCACACACTGCATATAAATTGTGAGATTATTAAAATACACCTTTTGAAAAATAAGATGACCATTTATATCTAAATAAGGTTCCCAGAAAGATATGAAATTTAAAAGCAGTTGTCTTTTCCATAAGGATAATTATTGTTTCACAAAATAACTCATATGATCTGAGGCAAATGATTTTTTTCAAATGCCATATTCTTTCTATGACTTTGAGGTATGCTTCGAGAGACTGTATAAGACCACAGTTACAAACACAAAGAGCCTTCCTTGGATAGAGAGTGCATTTAGTAGTTATATTAACAGAAAAGGATAGCTTCCAAAGCCATTTCTTTTACAAACACAGTTTGGATACTTAGACGGTAATTCATGATGCAGCTATTTACATATGTGCTATGTCATGTGTGCCTTAAAATACTGGCTTTTGCAGGACACTCCTATTCAAACACAAACCAAACAACTTTGGTAGAATAAACCAAACCATGATCTTCTGTTTTTAGCAAGGTAGTAAAAACAAAACAGAATAGAAACAAACAACAAAATAGCTGTAACAGTGATTCAGGCAAAGTTCCCATGTCAAACAGGCAAAGTTCCCATGTCAAACACAGTAGAGAAAGTGTTCCGAGAAATATAAATTCAAGGGGGGGGGGGGGGAACCCTATCAAACAAATAATGCTGAAAAATCAATCTTATAGTCACTCAAATAACTACCACATAAAAGGTTTATTAATGCCTTTGAAATAAGAATAGCTCAGTTCAAAAAAATAGCTGATTATGAGATTATTAGAAATGTTTTTGAAAAACATCCAAGCTAATTAACTTAAACAGAAACCAATTAGTAAAGGGTAAGAGGAAATTAACTCTTCCATAATTAATATTAGATGCCTTCTTGCCTTTGGAGAAACTAATAAAATTAAATTTGAAAATAGTATAGAAAATAATGAAATGTCATGACAACTGGGGGAAAGGGGGGATGAAGAAGGATACCATGCCACTACTAAACATGATGGGAGGCAAAAAACATGTTTTTAAGCAATTATTATGCAAAAGCATGTCTTACATAATTACATATCATAATTAAGTAAGAAAAAGCTTCAAGACTAGCAGCCAGATTTTGTGAAATATGTAGGATAATGGAAGGCACTACAAAAGCATTAGTTACTTCTAAATACAGTCAGACAGTTCAGTCCTTGCCTTCTTAAGAAGGTAACCAGTGTAAATGTTATTTTTATATCCCCCTGAGTTTTAACATGATTGGGCAAAACAGCACCAATTTAAAAAAAATCTGCAATGCCAGCACTGCAGTTTAGAATCACTTATACTGATGGTCCCACAGGTCTCTCATAAGAGCACTTTAAAACATGATTAAAAATATAGAAATGCATTTCGGTGTTTCAGTATTAAAGTGGAACCACCACAGATAGCCATTTTTTAAAATAATGCACTAAAAAAGTCAGTATAGTCTTTCTACCCTGTAGCTAACATTACAGCTGTTTTCTTCTCCAGATCTCCTTTGTGCGTCCAGGTGAAATGTCAGTATGTTTCCTGATGCACACACAGTCCTTTCTGGCTGGAAAACCCTGGCAAATATCACGTCATGCTTGTTTTGAGCAGGATGCTTTGTAGGTCCTCTGGCAATGCTAAGATAATTGCGTCTATGTGTCCCCGTAACTTTTCCATAGTTTCAGGTTTCACAGGTAAGTGCTCTCGATCAGCCTGCAACTGTACAAGAAACATTTGGAAGCATTTAAATTATCCTCTGAGTCTGTAATACATTATGTTTTCTAAATAAACATTGTTAATAGTCTAATGATTTGGACACTTCAATCAGAATTTACAGTAACTGTAAAAAAAAAAAAAAAGAACATGCCATTCAAACAATATATTGTTTGAGTTTAATAAAAAACTTCCATGTAAATTGATAATACTTAACACCTATCATGTGGTATTAATATAAGTGACAATAATTTTGTAGCGCACATTAGACTCCGTGTAAATACTTTTAAAATATAGGTGACGGTCCATGATGTGACCCATATGTAACCTTTTTATTTATTTTCTATTAATTTATTTTATTTATTTACTTTAGAGAAACAGCAATATGTTGTTCCACTTATTTATGCTTTCATTGGTTGATTCTTTTAAATTTTTTCCCCATATGTTTTTATTGATTTCACAGAGAGGAAGGGAAAGGGAGAGAAACATCAAAGATGAGAGAGAACCATCTTAGGCAGAAGGATATCATTATGATCTGCTTCAGATATCAAGTATTTTCGATCAAGTCTACTATCAATCTCAAGTCCTCTCATTTAAAAAGATAACGTCTATGCTCTAGCCAGGCAGTTCAGTTGGTTAGAGCATCATCCCGATACATAAAAGTTCAATCTCCAAGCAGGGCATCTTCAAGAATGTACCAATGGCCTGGCTGGTGATGCTCAGTGGTTAATTGTCTACTCATAAACCAGGAAGTCACAGTTCGATTCTGGGTCAAGGCACATGCCTAGGTTGTGGGCTCGATTCCCAGGAGGGGGTGTGCAGGAGGCAGCCAATGGATGATTCTCTCTCGTTATTGATATTTCTATCTCTCTCTCCCTCTTCCTTCCTCTCTCTGAATTCAATAAAAACATATGGGGGAAATATTTAAAAGAATGAGCCAATGGAAGCATAAATAAGTGGAACAACAAGTTGATGTAAATAAATAAAATAAATTAAAAATTCAAAATAAAAAAAAAAGGTTACATCTGTGTCACATCATAGACTGTCACCTCAAATATGAAGAAAACATCTTCACAGATCTTTGGCTGTTTCGGTTACATACCAGCTTACTTTTTAGCTTCAATACAAGGTCTACTGTTTCTACTTCTGTGTGTTTCTGGGTCCAGAGAAGTAAGTCCTAGAAAAAACAAACAAATCCCATTTCAGTTAAGTGCTCAAAATCATCTTCAAACCACACTATTTCAAAGGATAAAACTCCTGAGAAGGACAGAAACAAAAAAGAGAACAGGGTATTTATCCCAGATACAGCATGACAGCACAAAAATAATACTGTACATGATATTCTAACAATGTTAATTAAATAATTTTCAACATTAGCCAGAACAATTATTGAATATTTTTCAGTAAAATAAAATGTAAGAACCTTCTTTCTAAGGTAGCCCTTTTAGATCAATCATAAAAACAAAACTGCAATTCAAAGTACAATCAGTACTACCTACCCCCACTAATAGTGAATATTTTAATTTATAAGGAACATTGGCTAAAAAATGAAGAAAACTGTGAACATGAATATAATACTGAATGTAAACTTCACATCTTCAAATAAGCTCTTACTGGACTTATTTATGGTTGTCTTCATCATACTCCTCTTAAAATCACAATCACTGTGAGTTTATGATTAGAAAGTTAACACTGAGGCTAGCCCATCTCAAACTAAATACAAATGAGAATTAGACTATCCTTTGTCTTTTCACTTAATTTAAAATAGTATGGTAATATTATAGAATATACAGTCAGTCCAAATACAGAGGAAAATATTAATAGTAACTGCAAGAGGTTAAAAAGGCATGCTGGAAAAAATTTGGATCCTGACTCCATCCAGTGGTATGCTGGAAAATATTTAACAACCAAAAAAAAATGGTTTGTAGCATTTGCCAATTTCTGTGGTATAATACTTCCACTGTAGTCAATTTTAAACTACTAACCTGAGATCACTGAATGCAGAACACGGAAGAGATGTACACAGTCAGCTCTTATGAGCCAATGCAAGTGGATTTTGGCTCACTGCTAACTCCCCTACTTAACAGTAATGTGATCAGAAGCAAGTCACTTAACTTAACCCTCAGCTGTCCCATAATGGAGATCATAACACACCTACTTCAACGAAGTGTTGTGAAAATTAAGAGATTTTCCACATAGAGCACCTTATACATTCCTTGGCATATATAGCACAAGAGTTAGCTATTACTAGATATATCCTCCTAGCTTCTAAGGATAACTTTATCTTTTTTGTTCAATAAATGTTAATATCATACAAACATGCAGTTCTCTAACCTCTTTACAAAGAGCTTCTAGATGGAGTGCCTCCAATTTCTGGGTCATTTCCTTCCGTCGGGCCTTGAACCAACCATCAAAATTTGGTGATTTTAGGAAATGCCTATAAAAATAAAATTTAAAACAGCGAAGTTTGATTATGACTTACTTCCTCTCGTCAATACTTTTCCTACCTATTGCTGGAAGAACCATGTGAAACAATGTAATTTTTAATAAAAGAATATAAATTCAAGTCCAGCTTTTTGTTTTTTCTTCTCAAAAACAAAACTGTACAGATGGGTAAAAAAGACTAACCGGTAAAGTCCAATCCAATCGCCTTTTATTCTAGAGGTCAACTGAGGTCCTGCTTTCTCAAGTGTTTTCATAAATTCTTCTGGAAGAAATTGTCTTAATTGGGGTGGACTCTATAAAAAAAAGGGCATACTATATTTAAAAATTAAAAGTGCTATGTTCCAAGAAGTTAATTATAGTTAGAGAACGCAAATAGGAATTTAATTTAATATGTTTATACCTTCCATGGAGAAATACTTTTCTGCAAAGGCATTAAGCTTGCCACATATCTTTCCTAAAACCAAGAAAAAAAATCAATCAAGTTAGTTGTTCCAGAGAGTCATCACAAACGTTTTATTAAATAGACCAACTTAAAAGAAATAGGTTTCCAAGATTTTGAACATATGATCTGGTTATCAACACCATCATTGTTCCCCATAGTGAAATATAAAGTTCAGGATGAATTAAGAAGTTAGACTTTCAATAAAAATATAAATTTTAGATAATCCAAGGAACTACACTTAAAAAAAATAAAAACACTTTTTATTGATAGATTTTAGAGAGAGGAAGAGAGGGTAAGGGCAACATTGATTTGTTGTTTATGCATTTATTGGTTGCTTCTTATATGTGCCCTGACTAGGGATCAAACCCACATCTTGGTATATTGATAGTCAATAAGGATGGAATATGCTAATTGAATGCCCTGCCCTAAAAGATGGCAGTGCCCACAGCCAATAAGAAAGTAATATGCTAGCTGAAATTGGTTTGGCTCAGTGGATGGAGCATTGGCCTGAAAACTGAAAGGTCCCAGGTTCAATTCTGGTCAAGGGCATGTACCTTGGTTACGGGCACATCCCCAGTAGGGGTTATGCAAGAGGCAGCTGATTGATGATTCTCTCTCATTGATGTTTCTAACTCTCTTTCCCTCTCTCTCCTCTCTGTAAAAAAATCAGCCGTCCTGGATTGTGAGAGGGTGGCAATGGATTTTTGCACACTGATTTTGTATTTTACAACTTGACTATCATTTCAAATAGTTTTTTGGTGGAGTCTTCAGGGTTTTCTACCTACAGAATCATGTTGTCTGCAAAGAGTGACAGCTTGACTTCTTCCTTCCCTATTTGAATGCCTTTTATTTTTCTCTCTTGCCTTATTGCTCTGGCTAGGATTTCCAGCAATATGTTAAATAAGAGTGGTGAGAATGGACATCTTTGTCTTATTCCTGTTCTTAGAGGAAAAGCTTTCAGTTTTTCACCATTGAGTATGTCATTAGCTGAGAATTTATCATAGATGGTCTTTATAATGTTGAGGTACTTTCCTTCTATTCCTATATTTAGTGTTTTACTTTCCTTCTATTCCTATATTTAGTGTTTTAATCATAAATGGATGTTATATCTCATCAAATGCTTTTTCTGCATCTATTGACAAGATCATATGACATTTATCATTCCTTTTGTTAATGTGGTGTATTACACTGATAGATTGGCATTATGCTGAACCATCTTTGTGCCCCTGAAATAAACTCCACTTAATGGTGATACATTATTTTTTTAGATGTATTATATTCGATTTGCTAGTATTTTGTTTAAAATTGTTGCATCTGTGTTCATCAAAGATATTGGTCTGTATTTTTATTTTTTTGTGTTATATTTGCCAGGTTTTGATACCAGGATCATAGTGGTCTCACAGAATGTGTTAGGAAATAATGCTTCTTCTTCAATTTTTTAGAAGAGTTTGAGAAGGATAGCTTTTATTTATTTATTTTTTAAGAGTTTTTTTAAAAATATATTTAATTGATCTTTTACAGAGAGGAAGAAAAAAGGATAGAGAATCAGAAATATCGATGAGAGAGAATCATCGATCAGCTGCCTCTTGCACAGCCCCTACAGGGATGTGCCCACAACCAAGGTACATGCCCTTGACTGGAATCGAACCTGGGACCTTTCAGTCCGCAGACCGACGCTCTACCCACTGAGCCAAACCGATTTTGACGAAGGATAGCTTTTAAATCTTTGAACATTTGGTAGAATTCACTGGTGAAGTCATCTGGTCATGGACTTTTTGGGGGAGGTTTTTTTTTTTAATGGTTGTTTCAATTTCCTCATTACTGATTGGTCTATTTAGATTTTCCAATTATTCTTCATAATTTAGTCTAGGAAGGTTATATAATTCTAGGAAGGTATCCATTTCTTTTAAGTTATTAAGTAATTTGGTGGCATATACTCTTTCATAATATTCTAGTATGATCTTTTGTATATATATGATGTCTGTATACTGACTTCTCTCTAGTTTCTCATTTTGTTTATATGGGTCTTTTTCTTTTTTTCCTTAGTGAGTCTAGCCAGGGGATTGTCAATTTTATTAATCTTTTCAAAGAACCAGCTCTTTATTTTACTAATTTTTGCATAGTCTTTTTGTACTCTATTTCATTCAATTCTGTTCTAATTTTTATTATTTCCTTTCTTCTGCTGACTTTGGGTTGCTTTGTTCTTCTTTTTCTATTAGGTCTAGTAATAATTAATGTCGTTTTCTAATACCTTTTTTAAATCGAATTTATTTAAACAATACAACAAAATTTAATCAACAATATAGTTGCCATTGTTTTCTACTACTTGTGCCCAACGCTCAGGAAGCATTTTAATCCCTCTGTTGTAAAATTCTTGTGATTTTGATGCAAAAAATTCGGTCAATGCATTTTTGAGGCATTCTTCATTATTAAATTTTTTTCCAAGAAGAAAGTTTTGCAAAGAACTAAACAAATGGTAATCGGAAGGGGCAATATCAGGAGAATATGCAGGTTGAGGGAGAACTTCCCATTCCAACTGGCGCAGTTTTTCAGCAGTGATTCTTGCAGTATGCAGTCGTGCGTTATCGTGGTGAAGAATTATGCCCTTCCGATTAATCAGCGCGGGTTCTTTTTCTCTTAAAGCTTGGGCTAACCTTTCCAATTGGGCACTATACACTGCACTTGGAATGGTTTGGTTAGATGGTAAAAGTTCATAATGAAGAATTCCTTTAAAATTCCACCAAACACACAACATCACTTTTTTCGCATGCAAGTCAGGTTTTGGCGTGGGCTGCGGAGCCTCATTTTTGTCCAACCATTGAGGCCACCTTTTCAAATTAACATACAGCACCCATTTTTCATCTCCGGTAACAATTTGCTCTAAAAACGGCAAACGGTTTTGACGAGAGAGGAGCGAACTGCAAATTGTGACTCTTTGATTACAGTTGTTGTCGGTCAACTCATGAGGAACCCATTTTCCAAACTTTTGGACTTTGCCAAGTGCACGCAATTGATTTTAAATTGTTTTTTGTGAACAATTTAAAGTTGTCGCAAGCTCTTGTTGGGTAATTTGAGGATTTTGCACCAAAAGAGCTTGAAGAGCTTCTTGATCAAAATTGGACACATGGCCGAAACCGGTTTGGCTCAATGGATAGAGCGTCGGCTTGGAGACTGAAAGGTCCCGGGTTCGATTCCGGCATGTACCTTGGTTGCGGGCATATCCCCAGTAGGGGGTGTGCAAGAGGCAGCTGATCGATGACTCTCTCTCATCGATGTTTCTAACTCTCTATCTCTCTCCCTTCCTCTCTGTACAAAATCAATAAAATATATTAAAAAAAAAAAATTGGACACACGGCCTCGACCACTCTTGTCATCTAACAAAAAATTTCCCTCGCGAAATTTCTCAAACCAACGCTGGCATTTTCTGGCACTAACTGCATCTTGACCAAGAGCACTACAGATGTTTTTTGCAGCCTCACTTGCTTTTCTTCCTAATTGGAACTCGTAAAGCATGCAGTGCCGAATATGCTCTTCATCCGCCATCTTCTTAGCCCTAGTTTTGCAACAAAAACCAAACCAAACACAAACTTTTTCAAGCAAAACTTGTTAATTGCACTTCACACGTTCTGTAGATACCACGTGTTTGAAGGTTATGTCAATACAAGTCAACGCCAAGCAAGATTTTAAACAAATGTTAAAACGACATTAATTATTACTAGACCCAATAGTTCTTTAAGATATAATGTTAGGTTGTTTAAGATTTTTCTTATTTCTTGAGAAATGCTTCTAACAATATAAACTTCCCTCTTATTACTACTTTTGCTTCATCCCAGAAGTTTTAACATGTTGTAATGTCATTCTCATTTGTCTATATATCTTTTGATCTCATCTTTTCTTTAGTATGTTGTTTAAACTCCATGAATTTGTAGTTTTCTTTACTTCCTTTTCGCAGTTAACTGGTATTTCTAATTTCAAGACATCATGGTCAAAGAATATGCTTAATATAATTTCAATCTCCTTAAATTTGTTGATGCTAGTTTTATGATCCAACATATGGTCTATCCTTAAGAATAGTCCACGTACATTGGAGAAGAATGTAGGTTCTGATGTCCTAGGATTAAAGGTTCTGTACATGTCAATATATCCAATTAATCTAGTGTTTCATTTAAGACCTATATTTCTTTCTTTCTTTCTTTTTAAAAATGTATTTTATTGATATTTAACAAAGAGGAAGGGAGAGGGATAGAAAGTTAGAAATATCGATGAGAAACATAAATCAGCTGCCTCCTGCACACCCCCCACTGGGGACATGCCGGCAACCAAGTTACATGACCTTGATGGGAATCAAACTGGGACCCTTCAGTCCATAGGCCAACGCTCTATCCACTGAGCCAAACTGGTTTTGGCAAGGCTGATATTTCTTTATTGATTTTCGGTTTGGTTGCTCTGTCTAGAGCTTTCAGTGGAAAATTAAGATCCCTATCTATAACTGTGTTTTGATCTATTTCTTCCTTTAGTTCTGTGAGGAGTTGTTTTAAATATTTTGGTGCTTCCTGGTTGGGGGTATATATTAATTATGTTTTCTTGATGTAGAGTCCCCTTTATCATTATAAAGTGTCTGTCTTTGTCTTTCATTATCTTGAAATCTATTTTGTCAGATATAAGTAGCTTTTCTGTAGATGTTATTTACTTGCATCTAAAGGGCTCTATTTTTTATTTTTAATATTCTTTATTGAGATTATTACATATGTAATTCTTTTTCCCCCATAACTCCCTTCCACTAAGGGCTCTATTTTTCATCACTAAACACATGAGCAGACAAAACATACACCTTAAGATAAAGTTTTGGTGGATGGGAAAAACATTCATATCCTCTTCGACAAATCATTAAATTAAGCAAATGTATATATTAACTTACTAATGGGATGATGAAGCTTTGTGTCAACTCCAAGAAATAACGTCGCAGAATAACGCTTTGAGCCTCAGAAGGACGTTTCTGTTGAACACCCTTAAAAGAGAAAATAATAAGAACCTTTAGTCTGGTATCAAAGAATATAAAATAATGGATAATTATGGAGTTCAACTGATACATGAAAAAATATACGCATATATGGTATCTAAATATATAAAAGCCCAGCAACTGGAACGGTAGAACTACCAAAATGACCAGTGGCTATAATGTGCGCTGTGGCAGCCAACTGGCCTGACCTGGGCCCTTATCAACCCTCCTCCTGCCTGCCCAGCCCCCGATTGTCCCCCAACACCCAAAATGGGGGTAGGGCCAGCCGGCCAACCACCTGCAGCCCCTCCCCCAGGCTGGCCCTGCCCCCAGTTGGCCCCCCGTTACCCCAATCAGGGGCAGGGCTGGCAAGCCAACAACTTCCCCCAACAACCCAGCCCAATGGGCCCCCATCAAGGTGGGCTAGCTAGACTCCAACCGTGTACGAATTTGTGCACTGGATCTCTAACGTGTGTGTGTGTGTGTGTGTGTGTGTGTGTGTGTATGTATATATATATATATATATATATATATATATATATATATATATCTTGATATAAAACAAACCCTAGATCCCCAATGGGGGGTGTGCAGGAGGCAACTATTCGATGTTTCTATCCCTCTCTCTTCCTCTCTGTAAAAGATTAATAAAAAATATGTATATTAAAAAAAAGATACGCCATAATCCTTTAAAAAACAAAACAAAAAACCTATAACTTCATCCTGAAGTAATTTCATCTAAAATTTATTATACAATATACTGTGAAAAAAAGCCTTACAAAAAAAATATGAACTATTCACCATTCTTAAAAATATTAGTTCACAACAAAGACTGTATTTATTTCATAACTGCTGTATCAATACTATTTACATTTTCTAAGAAAGGCTAACTATGCTGCATTAGATGCTAAGCTACCTCATGGCACAGTCCACTTTTTCACTATAACTTCCAAGTATCTGGCACTGATTTGTAGTTGTAAGTGGCCACAGTTGCTGCTACTGTAGTCTCCTGATTTTTAGGAAGCATTGATTCAATAGAGAAACCTCATTTCACAATATCTATATAATAAAAACCTAAGCGACCATTAGGACAGATTGACCTGTTGCTATGATGTGCACTGACCACCAGGGGGCAGACGCTCAATGCAGGAGCTGCCCCTGGTGGTCAGTGCACTCCCACAGGGGGAGCATAGCTCAGCCAGAATCTGGGCTTGCAGCAGTGGTGGGAGCCTCTCCCACCTCCATGGCAACGCTAAGGAGTATTGAGTAGGTGGGCAGTAAGAAGTGAGAGTTCTCAGACTGAGAGAGGGTGCAGGCTGGGCTGAAGCACCCCGCCTTCCAGTGCACGAATTTTGTGCACCAGTCCTCTATTTATTTATATATATATATATATATATATATATATATATATATATATATATATATGGCACAAATTGCCTAGTTATATATTGTATAACCGAATAAAGAAATTTAAATTAGTAATATGAGCAAATAATTACCTTCTGTAGTTGCTTTATGATCTCTTCATCTCTATTTAGATATGGCTTATAAGAAGTATAAACTCCTAAGAAGAAAACAAGGTAAGCAGTAAATTTTTATTTTTTTAACAAGTGCCCAATATGTATATATTTTTAAATTAATAAAAGTTATTAATACCAGGTTTAGAATCCAGAGTCTTTAGGTTCTTCAATTTTTTCACTTTAACCTGTTTAGGAATTTCACCTGAAAGATATATTAGAAAGATTCTTAGAATTATTCAAATTTCACATCACAAAAGTGGAATTTTATAATATTAATAATCTGCTGACTATTACTTAGTCAGGGATATTATAGCTAATGTATTCTTCCTAAAATCAATTAATATTAAAAAGTTTGCCCTAGCTGAGTTGGCTCAGTGGCTAGACCATCAGCAGATGGACTGCAGGGTCATGGGTTCAATTCCAATCAAGAGCACATACTTCATTTGCAGGCTCGATCCCGGGCACATGTTGGGACATATGCAGAAGGCAACCAATTGATGTGTCTCTCTCACATAGGTATTTCTCTCTTTGTCTATCCCCCTTCCATCCACACACTCTCTCTCTTTTTTTTTTTTTTTTTTAATATATTTTATTGATTTTGTACCGAGAGGAAGGGAGAGAGATAGAAAGCTAGAAACATCGATGAGAGAGAGTCATCGATCAGCTGCCTCTTGCACACCCCCTACTGGGGATATGCCCGCAACCAAGGTACATGCCCTTGACCGGAATCGAACCCGGGTCCCTTCAGTCCCCAAGCCGACGCTCTATCCATTGAGCCAAACTGGTCTCGGCCATCCACAAACTCTCTTAAAAAAAAAAAAAAAAGCCTCAGGTAAGGATTAGTAACAACAAAATATATATATTCAAGAGTTTATAACTGGTACTTTAAAACTGGCTAAAGACAATATTGATTACAACATTACAGAAAAAATTTGTGTAAATTACATACAATAGGTACTTGATCTTTTGTTAATGTCTGTCATTACTTAAATGTTCCCTTTGTCACTCAACTTGTAATTCAAAATATTTGTATTATTTAATTTTTTAAATTTTTTTGCACTGTTTGTATCTTTATTATTTATGTGCCAATACACATAAAATACCCTTTAAGAGTAAATGGAATTAAAGTAACTTCTAAATTAGAACACAGAAGAATTTAAAGGTTCCCCCACACACATACACACCTCTGCTTTTGCATTGTAGGAACTTACACTGCCACCAGGTGGTGATAGCGTATGCCACAACCCCGGGTCTGATTCAAAGGTGAACAGGACTCTTGAGCAGGGCTGCTGTGAACAAACAATTCCTGCAGCATATGCATTGGGGTTCTAGCCTTGAGGTCTAGAGAAGTTACAATGTAAACCACCCTTTTACCTGGCAGAAAAATACCTCAACATAAACACTTAAAAGTGTCATATGCACATGAAATGTAACAGGCTTTCTTTCTCTTTTCCTTTCTCTAGCCTTTCCTTCCTCTCCCTTGGTCCTAGGTCTTTTAAATGGCAAATTTACCTGCCTGAAGAGATTTCTCAGATCTTTATCTGCAATAAGCAATAATATTAGCTGTCAAAATATTATAACAAAATGAAAAATTCAGGAATTTCCAGTGAGAAATGTAAGAGGTATCATTCAATTATCTAGATGTATAAAACTTCCAACTGCAGAATTCATGTATTCATTTAAAAACACTTTTGAAACAGCTACCCTGGCTCTTCCCACCATCTTGGAGCTGGTGGGGGCCTGCTGGGAACAGGACTTCTAAAACAACAAGTATGTGTGGAAGGCTGTGTTCCAAGGCCATGACTGCTGGATATAAGTAGGCTCTCTGGAATCAGAGTGAGCATACCGTTTTCTTAAAATTAAAGGTGTTTATGCTCAAAATGAAACTGAATTCTATCTGGGCAAGAGATATGTTTACATGTACAAAACCAAGAACAACATGTGACTCCTGGTGGCAAACTGAGTAATCTGGGGAAAGGTAACTCATGCTTATGGAAATAGTGACATGGTTCATGCCAAATTTGGAAGCAATCTTCTTGCTAAGGCCACTGGACACAGAATCCATATAATGCTGTACTCCGTGAGAGTTTAAATTTATTGAAAATAAAACAAGTAAAAGTGGATTTGTTATCTTATTTAAAAAAGAAAAAGCCACCATGAGCAAGGTATATATATCTTATTTTCTTAAGGAAAGCACAACCTTTTGATTACTTCTTTTATCAATATCAGTATTACAGAAATGTATAATACTTAGTCAAGTATTGGAAATCCCTTTTTAATTGGGCTATTTATAAAAAGTAGGTTGTTTTTGAGGTTTCATTTTGCTATCATTCATTCCATGTTTATAACTCTAAGTACGCTTTTTTTGGTAGGAGGAATGATGGTTACACCTGCATATTTTACTGAGAAGTTATGCTCTTCTCCAAAAGCCCTTATTCAGATTGTCTCAAAGAAGACTGCCATCAGCATAATTAAAAAGTAACCAAAAAGTAAAAACAAAGGGGAAGAAATAAACCTGCTCAGCCACATTATACATTAAAAAGCAGAACACCAAGTTCATACTTTACCTGCTGGTTTAAGGTCTCCTATTCGAATAATGTGTGGCCAGTGCTGAAGTGTTTTTGCAAAAAAGGGATTGGTTACTCCTAATATGACTGAAGGCCTATATAAAAACAAAACAAAAATGAGGTGAGAAAAAGATGAATGTTCCATCAGTGAAGAATAGTTTACAATTTCTTTTCAGTGAACCATAAATAAATTATCTTTTCCTTCATTCAATGTATCTACACTAATAAAAGAGGAAGATGCAAATTGTAGCTTTGTGACGCCCACCAGCCAATCAGGAGTGAGTATGCAAATTAACCCAACAAAGCTGGTGGGTTAATTTGCATACACAGGCACTGAGCGGCCGGGGGCAGGGCCACACCACCACAGCCACTCAGGGCCTCTGGGCAGCATGGGAAGGCCAAAAGGCGGCTCCAGGCTGGAGCAGCCAGGGGAAGGAAGGCCCATTCTTACACAAATCTTCATGCATCAGGCCTCTAGTTACATATAAACTACATGCCAGACACCATGTTTAGCACTAAGCATATAAAGATGAAAAGGCATAGTTTTTCTAAAGCACACAGTTAAAAGGGATACATACTGAATTATGATGCTAGAAATGATAAAACAGTGAAAATGGTAAAAAAAAAAAAATGTACAATTACAAAGGAGACATTATGTCTACCATGGGATTAAAGGATAGCCTCATCAAAGAGATGACATTTGCACAAAAATATGATTTAGAGTTCTTTGTCAAATGGATAAGAGTAGTAAAAATGCTGCATGAGAATGAATAGTATGTGCAAAGCAATGAAGTGAGATCATGATCTGTTTGTGGAACTACAAATAGTTCAGCATTTCTAGAGCACAAAGTACAAATAAAAGTAGCTGGGCAGTTGCTGGCCAGATCATTAAGTACTAAGTTAAAATGCTAAGAAGTTTAGATGTTATCGCCAGTGTTTCCCAAAATGTGGTACGTGTACTCCTAGGGGTACAGGAAAAGTTTGGTGGGGGTACGCGTTGCACTGGAGTTTGGTGGGGATATGCACTGCACCGTGCTTCGCTGCGCCTAATTCTACATTCTCATGAGTATGAGAGGTATTCAGTGTTACGAAAATTATAGAAGGGGTACACATATGTTAAAAGTTTGGGAAACACTGGTAGTCAAATGAAAGCCACATGAAAGCCACATTCATGCCACATGAATGAAAATATACTTATTAGAAAGGCTACTCTATGGAAAATTTAGAAGATATCCTATAAGGAGGGGGAGAGGTTTGAGAAAAATCAACAGCCAATATGAAAACAGACAGGAGGACTGGGAAGGGAGCTTTGGAAAGATTAGGATAATGAATTGACAGAATTTGGTAAAACTTGAGGTGCACCCTATTAAGGAGAAGTTTATGACAATTTAGGTTTTGATAACTAAGCAAAAAGTAATAGTATTCATGAAAATAGTAAGAGGCTTGGGATTAGATGGGGGAAAGGAAACAAAAAGAATTGTTTAAACATGTTTTGTTTTAGGTGATATTAGATGTTCAAGTAGCAAATGTGGTTAAAAAATAAAATTTGGATATATAGGTCTGGACCTTATAAAGATTTTGACTAGAAAAATAAACTTCAGATCCCGGGATATGTGTGTTAACAGAAGTCATGAGTACAGATAAGATAGTACAGAAACAATTATTAGTATGAAATCAGAATTCAGAACACAACACTGAAGAATACTAACATCTAAGAGGTTGGAAGAGAAAGAAAAGTCTGCACAGGAGAGTGAGATGCACCACCAGACAGCCAGGTAAGAGTGGTATCAGGATTAAAATATTTTCACGGTCAACAGCTTAAATGTTATAAGAAAGGGAAAATGGGGCAATACAGTACGCACAGGTCCAGCAGTGAAAAGGGCCGTACTGACTTGGGCAAGAACAACATCAGTTGAGATGGAGAAATCAACATGCAATGGACTGAGAAGCAACCAGGAAACCAAGAAAAGGAGATAGGAAAGAGAGGTTTTCATTGTTATTCTAGAAACTTAGCTATGAAAAGAAGATGAGCAATAGAGCAGGAGCTAAAAAAGAAAGAATAAGATAATTTTTCCCCTTTTACAGACTAGGAAGAATATTCATGTTTACATGCTAATTCAATGAAGAAGAAGAAAATGGAAATTATAGAGCAAGAAGAGATAACTGATACTACAAGAGATCCTGAAGTATGAAAAGAAGATAGAACTGACAGTACAGTTGGGTGGCTATTAATGACAATATAACTCCCACTAATAAAATGAATCATTCAAAGAAAATAAGATGCTGACTCTGGAAATGGGAGCCAGCAGCTCCTTAAACCTTACTTTATAAAATCAGTCTGCCAATAAGTTCAAAATTTAAACTTTTAAATTATTACTAAAAATGACTCTGCAGTTTATAAAGTTAATAATTAGTTAATAAAAAGTTTCTTTGTTTACTTACGGGGCTTGAGTACGAGTAGTATATTCTTTGAATTCACTATCATGAATAGTGAAATAAGGTCGGAAGTCACTGAAGTACTTCAATGGAGAAATACAGCTGTGGAGCAAGAACATGTAACAGAAAGGACACAGAAATTAAAGACCCTGCTCAATAAGCATAAAACATCCATATACACAATATACTCCTAATGGGATAATGTATCTATTTCAATAAATGGCAAACTTATTTCTGGAAACTAGAAACCAAATGGAAATACATAATGTGAAAGGGCATATTGAAAGAACATTGGACTTGGGGCAAAATATAAGGTGAAATTCTGATTCTATCATATGCTTTTTACTAGACACTGACCATTCACATACCTAATATTTTTCAGGTGTCAACTTTGTGTATGTCAGAGATTTTCAACTTTTTTCATCTCATGGCACACATAAACTAATTACTAAAATTCCATGGCATACCAAAAAATATATTTTTGCTGCTCTGACAAAAATAAAAAGGTTGGTATTTTGTTTTTTTTCAAGTTATAAGAGAAAGTTTATTTAGAAAGTTACCGAGGTAGTAGAAGTGAGCCAGCTGGGCGGCAGTGGCTCAGGAAACAAGTTACAGAAGCAACAGAAGGGACCGTAAAGCTTAGCAGAGGGAAAGGCAAAAGTAACGCACCTAAGGGAAGGAGCGGAGCTGGGTGGGCGTGCTCCTGAAAGGAAGAGCACTGGTATAATTTTGATTCATTCACACCGAATGGCTATGTGTTGGCTGTTGTCATTTTTTTATTTGACAATCATAGGGTAAAGAGGTCAGTGCCCCGGACTAAACAGTCAGGTATTGCATGCTTGGGCACATGGGTTGGAAATCCCTGGTGTAAGTAAATGAATGTGCTTGTTGCTAGAAAAACAAGAACATGGTTCCAGCCTTCATGAAGCCTGATTAATTTTCTCATCTATAAAATGGTGCTATAATAAGCACTAACTTCTTTGTGCGGATCAATGCAATAAGTGTACTAGTAAATAACAGATGAGAAAGTGCTACAACTATCATCATTAAGAAGCGAATGTACTCACTTAACAAGTGCCAATACAGTCTCCGAAGACTCTGAAGGTGATGGTGCCATGACCACAAGGGGCTCCCCCAACAGCACAAGTTCCCAAAGCATCTGACTGTGAAAGAAAACTGGGAAAAAACACCTGAAAGGTGTTTACATAGTAGGAACAGTTATTTATCCAACTTGTTAAGTTCCCATGTAATCATTCTAAACACTTCACATGGAGCCCTGGCTGGTTGCTTGGGTGTGTCCTCCACCGAAAGGTTGTCAATTTGATTGGGTTGCAGGCTAGTTTGGGCACATGCATGGGTTGCAGGCTAGACCCCCAGAAGTGGGCATGCAGGAGGTAGCGGATCAATATTAGGCTCTCACATCAATGTTTCACTCTCTCCCCCCTCTCCTTTTCTCTCTTTCTCTCAAAATAAAATCAATCAAATCTTTAAAAAGATAAAAGGCCTCATTTTTATAGTTTTGCCTTTTTCAGAATATTATATAAATGGAATCATTCAGTAAGTAGCTCTTTAAAAATCTAGCTCATTTCACTAACTATAATGCTTCTGAGAGTCATCCATAAAATATCAATAGTTCATTCTTAATCCCTGAGTAGTATTCCATGCACATGCACATATCTCATTTTGTTTATCCATTTACCAGTTGATGGACATTTGCATTATTTACAATATTAGGCTGGTATGTAAAGCTGCTATAAACACTTGTATACAAGTCTTTGTGTAGGTATGTTTCATTTTTATTGTGTAAATACCTAAAAGTAGGGTTACTGGGCTGTGCCAGGGCCAGTACATAAAACAAAACTAGCATATAAAACTAATAATCTTTGAAGCAGTATTCCATGCAGGTCACACACACACACACACACACACACACACACACACACAAAACAAAAAAAACCAACCCATATACACACACACACACACACACACAAAAAAAAATCAAACCAAAACTCACTGTAAGTCTTTCACATGACTTCTGATTATATATATTAATATTTAGTAATTGCTCATTTATAACAGTGGTTTCTCAAGTTGGGCTCCACATGAAAACCACCTGGGAGCTGGAACTTAGGCACCAATTCAAGGATTCTTACTTGGCTGCTCTGTGTAAAGTACAATTGTACTTTTTCCTTCTTTCTTTTTTAAGTGCTAGATTATCTGCACTTAATTTTTAATTTTGCATTTTGAAAAGTTTCAAACATACAGAGAAATAAAGATAATAGTTTAAGAACTCCCTTATATGTATCATCTTGTGTTAACATTTTGCTATTTTTGCTTCATTTACTTTTTCTTATTTGAAGTACTTTAAAATAAAATACAAACCTCATGACATTTCACCTCGAAATACTTAAAAGTGCATCTCTAAAAAAATAAGTGCATTTAAAAATATTTAATCCTCATTATAGGATATGTTTGAGTTTAGAGAGAGGGAAGGAGGGGAAAGAGAGAAAGAGAAACATTGATTGGTTGCCTCCCGTACACGCCCCAAACAGAGACCAAACCCCGCAACCTAGATATGCGCTCTGACCCGGAATCCAACCTACAACCTTGCGGTATAAAGATGCTGCTCCAACCAACTGAGCCACACAGGCCAGGGAATAAGTGTACTATTTTTTTTTTTAACATTATTACAATACCAAAGCTTGTAATATGCAGTCTGGGTGAAGCATGATTATTTTCCAGTTTTTTTCTACATTTCATATATAAACATTCATTTCTAAAGAAATTTAACATCACAAAAGCAGTTAAAATTTTTTACTCTTTACCTGAAAAGATCCACTTCATGAACAGTAGATAAAACAACAGATATGTGTGTGTCTGCCTAAGAGATAGAAAAGAAGAAATAGAGATGTCACTAAAATGTACAAAAATTGATTTTTAAAAATATATATTTTATTGATTTTTTACAGAGAGGAAGAAAGAGGGATAGAGTTAGAAACATCGATGAAAGAGAAACATCGATCAATTGCCTCCTGCACACCCCCTACTGGAGATGTGCCTGCAACCAAGGTACATGCCCTTGACCGGAATCGAACCTGGGACCTTTCAGTTGGCAGGCCAAAGCTCTATCCACTGAGCCAAACGGTTTTAGCCAGAAATTGATTTGTAAAATATACTTATTTATCTCGTGATCAAAAAACATATTGTCCTATCTTTTAAGTGTCTCTTGCTCTAGGAAAAGCCACAGAAAGTGGATTTGACCCATTTCCCCTAAAATAGCAGAAGATCAAGGAAACAGCAATTACATGGTTAAAGCATTGATTTAATGGCCAGACGAATTCACAACTGTATGAAATACTACCATAATACTATATGACATATATAACAGGCAAAATTAGCTTTCCTACTGCTTTATTCAATTCACAGAACAATGGAAGTGTTATTAGTTAAAATGTCTCAGATGAAAACTCCACCCTAGAACAGATGTGGCTTTGAGAAAAATGAAAGGCAATCATAACTACAGAATCCTTTTGATTGAGTTTGCTAAAAGCAGAAGTTTGCTGACCACTCTAAAAGAGGCTTTTTAGAATTATATCTTGCTGAAAAAAATATTTACTTTCCCCTTGTCCTCACAATTACAGTATAAATTCTGAGTTCTCAACAGTATCCATCAGAGAAAGAACAAGAAAAATATCTGAGAAACATTAGGAAGTTTATTGTCAATTCATTAAAATATTATTTAATAGGATATTTCAGTAATATTCAGAATTATATTATAAATCCAAGACTGCATTTGCTAGTTTAAAATGTCTGTTAAAGAGACTCTATGTGCTGGTTTATTCTACCACAGTAGCACACTACCTGCACTATTTGAGTTGTCCCAGGTTTGTCATGACATGTGGGAATCCGAACCTTAAAGAGAAAGAAGAAATTCACCTTGGTAACAAAAGAATGTCCATTATATAATTTACCAGCCCCACCACAGACAAATCATAAATGCTCTATCCTGTTGCTAAAAAGGTATACTTAGCATTACCTAAAAAGCCATTAAAACAAGGTATTTATGTCAGATTAAAAACTGAAGTCACATTTATTTTCAGTCACAGCTAAAGGTAAATGCACCAAGGTCTCCATATTCCCATACACACAGAAATCACTAAACCAATGAGAAGCAAATGTGCTGAAAAACAGAAAAGGGACATCAACTTCATACCGCTTCCAGTTTATTGTTCCAATCTTTGCTGCATTAATATACACACACCCAAACACACCCTTCCAAGCTTGCCAAACTATGGAGTAAATCCCATAGGAAACCATGAAAACTCTCCAGCCAAGGCTACTTTTGATGATTTTCCAGGGGAAAAAAAAAAATAGAAAAGAGCACATTTAAGAGAGCATTGACAAAAATAAGTCCAACAAGAAAATTAAATGCAAAAGCACTTAGAGCACATTCATACAGAGCCTGGGAGCAAAATGCAAATTCATTTTAGAAAATGAAGGAAATAAAATTTAATAGGAAACAATATCCTAGAATGGACATGTTTGGTCTGATATTACATATTAAGATAATTTAAGACTAAAAAACTAGCTTTCCTAATTTCTTTTAATTTTTAGTAATTCATACTTGATCCTACAAGTACATTGCAATACCACCCATCTCTGGAGAGCCATAAAGTAGCAGAATTCTAGGTGGCATTTATATGCACATGTATTATATAAAAACTAGAGGCGTGGTGCATGAATTCATGCACTGGTGGGGTCCCTCGGCCTGGCCTGCACCCTCTCACAATCCAAGATCCCTTGGGGGATGTCAGACTGCTGGTTTCAACTGGGTACTTACAGGCCAGGCTGAGGGACCCCACTGATGCATAAATCCATGCACCTGGCTTCTAGTATGCATATAAGATCTTGGGTTAATCTCTTTCTGCCTTCCCCGCTCCTCCCTTCCTCCATCCCTCTTGAGATTCATCAGTCTGTCCATGTTTCTATGCTTGTGCACTGAGTTTCTGCCCCCTGGTCAGTGCGTGTCATAGCTACCAGTCAAACAGTCGCTTAGGCTTTGATATATAGGAAGACTAGAGGCCCAGTGCATGAAATTCATGGAAGGGGGGGTCCCTCAGCCCGGCCTGCACCCTCTCCAATCCTGGACCCCTCAGGAGATGTCCAACTGCCTCTCGCAATCAGGGACTGCTAGCTCCTAACCACTCGCCTACCTGCCTGATTACCCCTAACCACCTCTGCCTGCCTGCCTGCCTGCTCACCCCTAATGGCTCCCCTACTAACCTGATCACCCCTAACTGCTCCTCTACTGGCCTAATCACCCCTGCCTTGCCCCGCACCTGGGAGCCAGGATTCTCTCCTTCGGCTGGTCACAGGCACCCAGGACCTGGGCTTCTCTCCTTCTGGCTGGCCACAGGCACCTAGGACCTGGACCAGCCTCATCAGGGCCTGAACTGCAGCTGCAGGCGCCCAGGACCATGGGATGAGTGGCTCGTCCCTCTTCTGGGCCACAGGCACAGGCACAGCCACTGGTGTCTGGGACCACATGGTGGGTAAGGCTTGTCCCTCTCCTGGGCCACAGCCTGACTAGTTCCCATTCCTCTCTCACGAGCTCATTTGTGCCTGGCTGATCCCCATTCCTCTCTCCCCAGTGTTGAGTGTCTGAGCCTTTACGTCATGAGGGCATGACAACCATTTGCATATTAGCTCTTTATTGTATAAGTTATGATACCCCCCTCATGCAAACTTACAGGAAGATGGGACTGGTGCCCCTGTTGTGTGACTAATAGTTCTGGGCAGCAGGATGAACTGGTATCTCTATAATTTCCCACATAAAATAAGTAAACAAGTGAAGGTAATAACAAGACTGGATGTTATTAGGAAGTTAAAAAGCAAAACTCGTGTGTGAACGCTTACAAATCTTTTAAAAAGGAGACAAATGAAATATAAGCCATTACCTTCATTACTACTCCCATAATAGGCAGGTATAATGTTTTCCCTGGCACTGGGGCAGGCCATCGATCAACATCATTACAAGCTGTAAAAACATAATAAAAATTTTCCTTAATATAAATGAAAATATTAAAATATGAAAAATAGCATATTAGATTTTAGAACTCTACTTTCTATAGGGCAGGACAAATATACTGGGAAAGTTGGAAGAAAAGAGGTAAAAAAAAATATAAAAGCAGTGAAAATATCTTACATTTCACCAGAAATACATCTCTGCTAGGATAAAATTGGTTAATATATTTTTTAAAGCAACCAAATAATAGGTTTAGAGGAGTTTTCCTATTAATTTATTACTACTACAATTAGCTACAAAAGCACACCACTTGGCAGAGGCTTTCTCTCAGAACTGAGCGACATAAGGATTTCTGTTTAACAGTACTAAGTATCAGAAATGTCAACTCAATATTTATTATTTTCCTATGGTACAAATGGAGATAATAAATTATAGTTTTTGGTGTTTTTAGGTAAAGATGCCAGAAGAATAGTTTTACATCTCTCTCCCCACCATAAAATTCTTAACTAAATTTTTAAAAGGTCAACTTTATTATTATCAGACCATTTCCAGTAAAATTTTTAAAACGCCTTCATGAAGCTACTTAAGTCACACAATATTTAACTTACCTGCTTCCAAATAAGGTTTGCTCTTTTCAAAATACTCTGGTGCTATCTGTTTGAGTACAGTGTGAAAAAAATGAATATAAGGTAGTTTGCTGATCAAAACCAAGGACTGGAGGGAAAAAAGAAACAAGGTGTTATTGTTTTTTAATTTCCTAATGATTATAATTTAAGTTTGTCATTTTTTACATCAGCAATTACTAACAATCTATATTCAGCAAAAAGTGCGGGTTTTGAAATAAAAAGGCTTTTACAGTATATGGTTAAAAGGAAACATAAAATTATAATCACAGAATACAAAAAGTTTTAACCTTATTACTACACTTTAAGAACATAAAAAGCACATTGACAGATTTTTCCTTCTTTTCAGGAAAAAGAATTTCCTGTAAACAGACTAACATCATGGAGAATTTCTAAAATTTGCTACTACTATCATTAGCAAAGCAATATCAACAATTAGCTAGATAAATTATTCCTAATAAGGAAAGAGCAAATTGTGATACTTTTTCAAACTAAGACCTGTAACTGTTACATTTTATTTTTTATTGAATTCATTGGGATGACATAGGTTAATCAAATTAAATGGGTTTCAGGGATACAATTCTATAAACACATCATTTGTATTCTGTATTGTGTGCTCACCACCCCAAGTTTCCTTCCATTACCACTGAGTCACCTTTATCCTCTCCTATCTCTCCCCAATATTGTAGAGTTCAATGGTCATAGCCACATACTTAGAAATTGTGGCTTTACAGTTTAATCACTTCAGATACAGATTATGTTGATCTTATTTTTAAAATCCATTTTTCTTGAAAATTATTTTTTACTTTTCTGTCCAGCATCAATTACTGGTCAGGGCATACTCTGGTTACAAAAGGTAAAGGTGTGTTCCATTAGCTGGGACTGACTTGAAATCAACTAATTTTTTTTTTTTTTAAAGAAAGTAAAGGATTGTACATTTATAGTAAAAACTATGCCTAGATATTGCTAACGTATATTTAACTGACTCTTCAAGAAAGTATTAGTTGTAACTATTATATATTACAATCTGTTTATTCTTTCCCTTCTTCTAAAATGGAAAAATTAAGTAGATTCTGCCTGTGGCTCAGTTGGTTGGGTGTCATCCCATGGACCAGGAGGTTGCTGGTCAGGGGCATCTGCCCAGGTTGCAGCTTGATCCCCCATATGGGGCCTTACAGGAGGCAGCTGATCAATATTGTGATCTCACACTGATATTTCTCTCCCTTTCCTTCCTATCTCTAAAAAATCAATAAACTATTTTTAAAAATTTAGCAGATACTTCTGGCTTTTGACAGCTTCATAAAAAACTGTAACTTATTGTCAGAAATATAGTACAGAGATAGCATAAAGGTGAAATTCAATAGCAGAGAAAAATCTAGGAACATATGTCTATAATCTAAAAAATCTAGTAACATATGTCTATATGTCTATAATCTGAAAAAAACACAAAGATAAAATATAAATTTTAGTATGTTTAAAAAATAAAATGTCAAAGACTTTAAAGACTATTCATTCTGCTGGTTTCTATCTTTCTAACCATATTATAAAAATATTTTTCTATTATTGTGTATCTGAAAATTACCTTTTGAAAATAGCCTCTTTTTAGAGTTTTGTCTCGAACTTGTCGGAAATACACATATCCATAAAAATAAGCAGGATCCTTCTATAAAAGAAGTGACAAATAAAAAAGATAAATATGTGTAGCCATCCTTTATTACTAACATTAGGTTCCTTTATAAACCCTAACGGAGTCATGAGGTATACACAAAGAGCTAGTTATGTTTTTCTACCAATACAAACAACAATCATGTAGTAATAGCCAGATAAAAACCTGCTAACTTGCCCAAAGATGAAATAATCATTAATAAAGTCATATTTTCCTCTATAACTTACTGTTTATGCTCTTTATTCATAGCTATACTAGTTAAAGGGAGTTATGAACAATTAAATTGTTCTTCCCCAATGCTTTGAATAATTTTTAAAATCCAGCCTATACTTTTGCATTAGGGACCAATCTTAGTAAAATGAAGTGTCCTAATGTAAAACTTAGAGAAAACAAAAGGAGTTAAATGCCAATCTGAATCTTGCGAAGTCAGTAATGTTTTTATTCAATAATAATGAAACATTGGAATGTTTATCAACATACAATTTGAAAAGTAATTACATTCCAAAAAACTTAAGAAGTTTTGATATCCTAATGGAATAAATTTTGGCCTGGTTCCTCATTTGATATTTTTGAAGCAAATACTTATTGACCGACCACATACTTTGAACAAGGCATTGTGTTAGAGAAGATATAAAGGTGCATAAGACACAGTTCCTAAAGGAGATCATATTCTAAAAGGAATAAGGAAAGTACAAAAATTACCATTATGGAATAGAAGAAGAAAGCCCAAAGTATTACGAAGAGGTCAAGGGGGAAAGATTATCTCTGTCTATGTAGATCAGTAAAGATTTCATGGAGACTCCTAGTTTTCGGCAATAAAGGATGAATATGTTTAAACAAAGACAAAGACATTCCAGGTTTAAAGTTCCAGCAAAAATATACAGAAAAATACAAGCTATTCCAGAAAAAACAAACAAAAAACAAACAAACAAACAAAAAACAACAACCCACAACAAGATAAAAGTAATTTATTTAGGTTAAAATATGGCATGTGTATAGAAAGGGTAAAAATTTGGAAACTAGAAAGGTAAAGGCCTTATTTTGGAAGGTCCAGAAAGTGAGGACAAGTAAACAGTACTACCATTAGCTCTTTATTAAATAATAGGTAGTCCTTTTAGATTTTATTTATTTTTAGATAATATATATGTACATATGTACATAGCTGGAAACACCATGAAAATACATTGCGTTGGAATATCTTTGGGCAAGTTTCATATCCTCCGTAGCCCTTAATTCCTTCATCTGCAAAAGGAATGCTCTCAGAACACTATAAAATAATATGTTTATTGATATAGTAAACCTAGAACATAAAAAGGTCTAATAAATGTAGTGATTATCATCATCAGTTGAAAGAAAATGTTAATAGTGAAAGCAGAAGGTCATGGAAAGGAATAGATGGCTACAAGAGACATTTCAAAGGTAATCCTTTAGCTAACTGGGAGAGGGTTCCTGTCATTAGTGAAACCAGTTAGGTATACTGTAAATGCTGATTTTAGGCAAATTATGTAAAGTTCATATTGGATGTGCTGATAGGACACATAGGTGGAAATGTTCCTCACACAGTTAAAGATGTAAGTGTGGGTACAAAACAGAAATGTATGCTCTGGAATAATCGGAATTGTTAACATTATTCTAATAAACAATACTTTTAAAACAAAACTCATTAAAACATCAAAAGGGCTGAGACCGGTTTAGCTCAATGGATAGAGCGTCGGCTTGGGGACTGAAGGGTCCCGGGTTCGATTCCGGTCAAGGGCATGTACCTTGGTTGCGGGCATATCCCTGGTAGGGGGTGTGCAAGAGGCAGCTGATCGATGATTCTCTCTCATCGATGTTTCTAGCTCTCTCTTTCCCTTCCTCTCTGTACAAAATCAATAAAATATATTTTAAAAAAACATCAAAAAGGGAATTATAATCCTATATCGTAAAGTAAGTAGGGATTACCACAGGAAATCTAACTCTGGGTGATATTCACTGGTATAATACTACCCTATCTCCACATCTGAACAAGGAGTTATTGCCCAGCCGGTGTGACTCAGTGGGTAAATATCAACCTTTAAACCAGGAGGTCACGGTTCGATTCCTGGTTAGGGCACGTGTCAGGGTTGCAGGCTTGATCCCCAGTATGGGGTGTGCAGGAGGTAGCCAATCAATAATTCTCTCTCATTAGTGATGTCTCTCTCTCTCCCTTCCTCTCTAAAATCAGTAAGAATAAAACTTTTAAAAAAATTTTAAACCAGGAGTTTTTGCCGGGTGCTCAGTTGGTTCGAGTACCATCTCATGCACCAAAAAAGTTGCAGGTTTGGTTCCTGGTGTGGACACATACCTACATTGTGGGTTCAATCAATCCTTAGTCAAGGCCAGTACGGGAAGCAACTGATCGATGTTTCTCTCTCACATTGTTTTTCTCTCTCCTTCCCCTCTCTAAAATTAATGAACATATCCTCAAGTGAGGATTAAATATAACAATAGTAAATTAAACAAGGAGTTATTAACAAATGAAATAAAATTATTTCAGCATTCTAATCAACTTCTATAACTCCCAATGGGCATTACATTTTAAGAACAGTAACTTTATAAAGTCTCTTTCACTCACATATTGAATCTATTTGAATCAGATTTAGGAAATTCAGCAGGGTGATATAATAACAAAACAAAAACAAAATGTTTCTGAATGCTATAAGAAGTAGCTGAGTTTTAAAGTTTCCTCTCACAAAGACATTCTTTTATTACTACTTTTCCAACCTTTAAGTAAACTGGTAAATCTTTGTCAAATTGATCCAGGAAACAATGCAGTGACATCCTCCTCCCAGAAGACTGTCGAAATCTAAAACAGAACTGGGTATCTCCAAGACAACCTAATGAAAACAAAAATGAATAAGTTTAGGATAGCACAGTATAACACTTACTTATCCAGTTTCATCAAATGTTAGAGTGGCAGAGGTCCTAGCAATCATTTAAATCAATTCTATCATGTTTTAGAGAAGAAAAAAGAGATCCTGACAGGTCAAGTGACTTGCTCAAAGCTATCTTCACTGGTTAGAGGCAAAGTCATTAGCAAAACACGCATCTTAAGTCCTGCATTATTTTTCCTATTCCATTTTCCCTATGTAATTAAAAGTATTTAAAACTAGAGGCCCAGTGCATGAAATCATGCAGGTAGGGTCCCTAGATCTAGCCTCCTGCAATAAGGGCTATCTGCTACCCACGCCAGTCCCCAGGCCAAATGCCACCTCCGCCAAACGGGTCTCTCAGGCCATTGGGATCACCAGCTCATCCCTAGCTGCTCTGGGCTCAGGCCTGTGGGAAAGCAGGGCCTGGGCGACTTCACCTCTATGTGATTGTGCTGGGTCAGCTACTGATGGACCGCACTGCCCGTTCAGGGCTGCTAATGCCGGTGCCACCAATGCCGCCACAGCTGCTGCTGCTGCTAGGGCTTGAAGCGCTGACAAAAGCTGTGGGTGCGCCTGTGACCTATCTGCCTTGGCACAAGCAGCTCCATCAGCATCTGGCTTGGCTCGTGGAGGTGAAGTCGCCCTGCTTTCCCGCAGGCCTGAGTCCCCGAGCAGCTGGGGATGAGCTAGTGATCCCAATGGCCTGACAGCCAGCCCGTTCCTCCGGCCACCCACCCTTTCACCATCACTGATCCATCGGAGACTGTGGGCCGGGGAGGGGCAGGGACCCAGAGGTCAGCCGTTCAGCTCACTCACCAGTCCCCAGTCCTGCCCCACCACCACTCACATGCCAAGGACCGAGGGACAGAGAGGTGGTAAATGGCACTTCATGATGACTAGTGGAGCCGTCGTTCCCGTTGTGATGCTTATGGCCTCTGGCCGTTTATTATATAGATTGTTTGCATGTAATGCAGATTCACAAGCATAATAATGAGCAAAAGAAGCCAAATACAAAATAATACTTAGTTCAAATCCAGTTGTTTTTATAAAAAGCAGGCAAGCCTGGCCAGTGTTGTGTAGATCCATTAACCAGGAGGTCATGGTTGAATTCCCTGTCAGCGCACATGCCCAGGCTCAATCCCCAGTGTGGGACATGCAGGAGGCAGCCAATCAATGATTCTCTCTCATCATGATGTTTCTCTCTCTCCCTCTCTCTTCTTCTCTAAATAAAAATATTTATTTTTAAAAAGCAGGCAAGATTATAGACTTCAGAGATGCATGGTAGGGTGATAAAACTCTAAAGTAGCAAGAAACTTATTACTGTAAGAATCAGGGTAGTGTCCTGACTGCTTTGGTTCAATGGATAAAGCGTGGGCCTGTGGACTGAAAGGTCCCAGGATCGATTCCTGTTCAAGGGCACATCCCCAGTACGGTGTGCAAGAGGCAGCTGATCTATGTTTCTCTCTCATCGATGTTTCTAACTCTCTATCCTTCTCCCTTCCTCTCTGTAAAAATCAATAAAATATGTATATATTTTTTTTAAAGAATCAGGGTAGCTGTTACTTTTGAAAGGGGATGGAAACAGTGTTTGGGGAAGACATAAGGGGCTTTTGAAGTACTGGCAAAGTTGTATTTCTTGATCTTGTATGTGTTTTATATTTCACAATGAGAATTTTTTTAAAAAGGCGTAATACAGCCGAATCAGGAAGAGCTCAAGTAATAAACTTACTATTTTAATTACGAATAACTTTTTAACCTTTAATCATTTTAGGAAACCTCTTAAACATGTAAACTTTACAACTAAAATGTCAGGCAATAATTACAAAAAACTGAATATTCTAAAAAGTCAGATGAAGTAACCTGTCACTCAAATTTTTCCCAGTTAGTATATTTAAAATGAATAGGATTATGTTAAATATTAAAAGTGCTCAAGATTTTATTATTTATTATTATGCACAGAAGTACTTTAGCACATGACGTTCTTAACAAAAGAAATAGAAACTTAATATGTTTGATTTTTCTTTTTACAGAAAATACACTTTATTATAATTCCTTATGAAGTTAAAAACAGAGGCAGGCCCCTCTAAATAAAGGATTGTAAAACAAAGGACCATTCCATCAAAAATCAAATAATCTCAAACACTGAGAATTTAACATAACAAATGGGATCCTCAGATGGCATTCCTGCTTCTAACATGTAGTCTTCCTACAGTCACGGTTATAGGGATTATATTAGCTTTTGAATTCTCAGGTGGAGAAAGATAAGCCATGTAATATTTTGAGTAGCAAAAACTGATCATTGCTCTTAACTTTCTGGTTGGTCTTCTTTCCAATGTATAAATTTGCTATTCCTGATCTTTGGGGGAACACCTTGTTTATCTGCATTATTTCCATACTTATTCTTACAAGAGCTGGATGGCGGGGACAGCAAAGGGCACAGGTACTGAAATTTCAAGAATGGAGAACAATGACATAAAAATGACTTCAGACATAAAAAGGAGACGATCCCCTGAATCTCAACTCTAATATTATAATCAGAAGGATGATACTGAAAATTGATATTATGAAAATCCGAGGTTAACAGGACACTGATCTCCCAGAAATACTACTTCAAGGGCTATAAGTAGATCATTTTCAATTGCAGTTGACTTGACACTGGCCAGGAACAAAGAGGGGCTGCATTGTACCTACACTGTGTTTTCCAGGGGAAGTCCAAATCAAATTAAAAAGAAATAGAAACTTAATATGTTTGATAATTAGCCCTCCTAACACCAGAAAAAATTTCATCTGGTCAGAGCACCAATATGTTTTTTAAAAAGCAACTCAGGCCAAAACAGGTTTGGCTCAGTGGATAGAGCGTCGGCCTGAAGACTGAAAGGTCCCATGTTCTATTCGGGACAAGGGCATGTACAGGCACATCCCCAGTGGGGGGTGTGCAGGGAGGCAGCTGATCAATGATTCTCTCATTAGTGTTTCTAACTCTATCCCTCTCTCTTCCTCTCTGTAAAAAAATCAATAAAACATTTTTTTTAAAGCAACTCAGTGCCCTCACCAATGTGGCTCAGTTGGTTGGAGCATTTTCCCATACATCAAAAGGTTGTGGGTTATATTTCTAGATGAGGCAAATACCTAGGTTGCAGGTACACTGAGAAGTAAACACTAATTTCTCTGAGACTGTGATAAGATAGAACAGAAAAAATGCAATGGATTTTAAGAAAGAGATATTATAGCATCTAGAAAATGTAAGAAATGCTAAGCTTTGTGGAAGGGAAGTAATGAAGCTCTCATAGTCTTAAATTCCTACCCACCTGGTTCCATTTCCAAATCATGCTGTGAGAACTTTCCAGCTGCACCTTAAAGCTATACAAAATTGGTCAGGAGGCAAGTTTACCAGGTCAAAAAGGCTTTAATAGTGTCCTTGTGAACTGAGGTAAATGGTTCCTGTTTTATTTTCAGAGATCTGTCCATTCACATATGAAAGATTACTAAAGAAATATCAACTACTGCCCTAGCAGGTTTGGCTCAGTGAATAGAGCATCAGTCTGCAGGCTGAAAGGTCCTGGGTTCTATTCCAGTTGAATGCACATACATCTCAAAGTGTAGCCCGTAGACTGATGCCAGTATATAAATCTATCCAGGATGAAATGAATATCCAAACTGAGAATACATATTTAAGGAACTCTTACAGAAATTTGATATTGTCATGACAAATCTCGACTTTATTTTCTAAATACATCTTTAAACTGCATTTTATAAAAACATTGGTCCACTAGATTAGAAAATTTTCAAAAGCCCACTGGGCTGCCCTAGAGATATTTTAGGCAAGTTTGAAGCCAGGACAGACCAACTCTACACAATTTTTCAAAAACCCACTGGCTCCTCAATGAATAGAGCGTCAGGCCATGAACTGAAGTCATGAGTTTAATTTCAGCCAAGGTCACATACCTCAGTTTCAGGCACAATGCCCAGACTGGTTGGAACATGTGCAAGGGGCAACCAATCCAAGATTCTCTTTCACACCGATGTTTCTCTCTGTGTGTCCCTCCCCTCCCTTTCCCTTTCCCTCTCTCTCTAAAAAACAGAAAAAACAAACAACAACAACAAAAAACAGAACACCCTGGGACAGAACCAAGATGGTTGTGTAGGTAAACACCAATACTCACTGCCTCCAACAACCACATCAAAATTACAACTAAAATACTAAACAACCCATCATTCAGAAGCTCCTGAAATATGGCTGAATGGAAGTCCTACAACTACATAAGAAGAAAGCACACTGAGACTGGCAGGAGAGGCAGAGGTGCGGAACAGGCTGGTCTGGCACCCACAAGTATCACTTTTTAATTGGGAGGTACATTGCGGCTGTGGAGGCCTCCCATGAGAAGAAATCCCAGCCCTATATCCAACCCACAGCCCAGGGCTCCAGAGCTGGGGAGAGAAGTCCCCGTACATTCTGGCTATAAAAACCAGTGGGGTTTGGTGCTGAGTGACACAGAGGCTGCTAGAAACCCAGGAAGTTCCTCTTAAAATGCTGGCCCACAAACTTACACAGACTCACTCCCTCGATGCTAGGCAGCAGTTTGCCCCCAAACTGCTGCCTAGCATCGAGGGAATGAGTCCAGTATGTCCCTAGCATCCAGGGACATACTGGGAGGACTGGATTGTCCGGCATCAGAGCAAAAACTAGGGGGTGGCTTTCTCCCAGACAGAGGTGCTCACAGGGGTCATTGTTCTTATGCTGAGACCTTCCTTGTTGCAGACCTGACTAGCAGCCATATCTGACTTTCTATCAATCTGGCTCAAATTGTTTATCTCTCCCTCGTGATTCCCTGAGACCCCCACCCCATCCAATCTGCACCCCACACAAGCTGTTTGCAGCGTTTTTTTTCATATGTATGGTCTGTCCTGGTTCAGGCTTCAAACTTTCCTAAAATATCTCAAACAGCAGCAGCTGGAGTCAGGATGCCCCACATCTATCAATAAGAGGCCCAAGATAAGGCACTAGCACCAGCCTGCCTTGTTTCACCTCTCCTGGGCACTCCCAAGGCCTTACAAGTAGCAGCTATCTGTAGATAGCTCTGTAATTCCTGCTGGGTGACCCCAGGCAGTGGCTGACTTTGTACCTCCAGGAGTCCCCAAGACAGTGTACCCGGTAGACAGCTTCAGACAATATCAGATTACAACTCTACACATCCATAAGCAACACACTATGGAGCTGACTCAGTGAGCACCAAAGCCCCATTGAAGCAAGTCCTGCTCCATAAGGCTGTCCCTTGCACAGCAGCTCTTCCACTGTAGTCACAGCTGGTTCTCACAGCCAATTGTCCTAGGGGTCAATTCCTCCCAGTGACCCCAACAGCAATCAAGGTTCAACTACAAGACTGTGCACACAGACCACACAGAGGTGCACCTATAGTGCCCAGCTCAGGTGACTGGGGAAGGTGAGTCACTGGGACCCACAGGACACCTACTACACAAGGCACTCTACTCATTCCAGGAAACATAACGGTTCTACCTAATGCATAGAAACAAATATAGGGAAGCAGCCAAAATGCAGAGACAAAGAAACAAGTCACAAATGAAATAACAGAAGAAATCTCCAGAAAAAGAACTAAATGAAATGGAAATAAGCAAACTACTAGATAGAGAGTTCAAAACAATGGTTATAAGGTTTCTCAATTATCTTAGTGAAGACTTCAAGGAACTTAGTAAGAATTTCAAGGATCTTAGTGAGAACATCAAAGACATGAAAAAGGACTAGTCAGAAATTAAGCATATACTAACTGAAATAAAGAATAATTTACAGGAATTCAATAGTAGAATAGAGGATTCTGAGAATCAACTCAACGATTTTGAATATGAGAAAGCAAAAACAAACAACAACAACAACAACAACAACAACAAAACCAATTAGGAGAGTGAAAAGAAAAAAGTATCCAAAAATATAATGACAGTGTAAGGAGCCTCTGGGACAACTTCAAGTGTACCAACATCCCTAGAGGAGTAGAGAGACAGTAAAAATTAAAAATCTATTTGAAGAAATAATGACAGAAAACTTCCCTACCTAGTGAAAGAAATAGACTTATAAGTCCAGAAAGCACAGAGAGTCCCAAATAAGAGGAACCCAAAGAAGCCCACTTTAATCATAACTAAAGTGCCAAGGGTTAAAAACAAAGAGAAAATCTTAAAAGCAGCAAGAGAAAAGCAGTTAGTTACCTCCAAGGGAGGACCCATATCATTGTGAGCTGATTTCTCAACAGAAACTTTGCAGGCCAGAAGGGAGTGGCAAGAAATATTCAAAGTGATGAGTAGCAAGGACCTACAACCATGATTACACTACCCAACAAAATTCTCATTTTAAAACTGAAGGTCAGATAAAGAGCTTTGCAGACAAGAAAATGCTGAAGGAGTTCATCACCACCAAACCAGTATTACATGAAATGTTGAAGGGTATTCTTTAAGAAGAGGATGATAATAAAGAAGAGGAGGAGGAGGAGATGAAGGAGAAAGAAGATAAAAAAATATGAACAATAAAATGCCAATAAATATATATCTATCAGCAATTGAATCTAAAAATCAAAATAAACAAAAAAGGAATCTAGTGAACAAAATAAACTGATGAATAAAATAGAAACAGAGACATGGAAACATGGAACAGACCGACGAATCTCAGAAGAAAAGGGGGAGGGGGCAGAAAGAGATTAACCAAAGTTCTTATATGCACACTACAGGCCCGGTGCATGACATTCTTACACTGGGGGAGGGAGGGCTCCACAGCCTGGCCTGCACCCTCTTGCAGTCCAGAACCCCTCAGTGGACATCCCCCAAGGGGTCCTTAGCATTGCCATGGAGGTGGGAGAGGCTCCCACCACTGCCAATGTGCTCGCCAATGTGAGCCCCGCTTCTGGCTGAGCAGCACTCCCCTCAGTGTGGGAGTGCACTGACCCACAGACGCACTGAGCATCTGCCCCGTAATGGTCAGTGCACATCACAGTGGCTAATCGTTCCACCGTTTGGTCTATTTGCATATTGGGATATTATTACATATTGGCATATTATTATATAGGATAATTGGCATATTATTATATAGGATAATTCTAAAAATAAAATAAAATAAAGATTTTCTTTTAAAAGAAAACCCAACTGGCCTTTTAACACAGTATGAGAAGCATTGCTTTAAAGACTAGGAAGTGTAAAGCACATGACAATGTCCCTACTATTTATAGACAAAAAAATCTGCTGAGACAAATATTGTCTGCATATTTAATTTATCCAGAGCAAGGATTAATCCTTCACTTGAATTCATCATTATTTGAAACTTTCTCAACTATTGCTGACTTTTCCTTCTGGACATGTTTAAAATATAGTGGTTATAGTCCTTGGCTACTCTTATAGCTTAAGCCTTAGGAACACTGTATCTAGACAATGTTAACGATAAACAATAGGAGGAAAAATAAAACCTAACAAATATTTATCAAAGCGTAGGCATACTTTAAATGTAGGCTCCTAAAGATAAAAACCATTCAGATGGAACAAGAAATCAAAACCTAAAAACAAACCAATTTCTAAAGACATGAAATCTAGGGTGTGTGTGAGAGTATGGGATGGAGGAAGTAGAGGATTGGCAAATCATTCTAATGGGAATTCCCAAAGCATTCTTTTTTTTCTTATTCAGCATATCAGTCTAAATGTTTTACTTTTTAAAGTTTGCACCCTGGAGCCCTGACCAGGTGGCTCCATTGGTTGGAGTGTATTCCCATACACCAAAAAGTTGAGGCTTTGATTTCCAATCAGGGCACATAACTTAGATTTCGGGTTCTATCCCTGGTCAAGGTACATTCGGGAGACAACCAATCAATATTTCTCTCTTTCTCTCCCTTTTCTAAAATCTATACAAACATATCCTTGGGCCCTAACCAGTTTGGCTCAGTGGACAGAGCATTGGCCTGAGGACTCAAAGGTCCCAGGTTCGATTACGGTCAAGGACATGTACCTTGCTTGCAGGCACATCCCCAGTAGGGGGTGTGTAGGAGGCAGCCAATCGATGTTTCTCTCTCATCGATGTTTCTAACTCTCTATTCCTGTTCTTTCTTCTCTGTAAAAAATCAATAAAATATATATTTTAAAAAACCAAAAACATATCCTTGGTGAAGATTACAAAAAAAATGTGCATCATGGAAAGGAACGCTAGGCTTTCTAAAAATTGCTCTACTGTGCCTAGATTTCCTTTCATAACAATAAAAGCTATTTTGGGAAAAATGAAATCCATTTCAAAGTTGGCACAGTAATCCCAACTTCCATTTAATAAAACACTTAAGTGAAGTAAACTTTTTGGATAATCACAAATAAACTTTTTGTATAATCAACCGAGAACATTGATCTTAAAAAAATCAACTGAGAACATTGATCTTAAATTATCCAAAAACTTTTTGGATAATCACAAATAAACTTTTTGGATAATCAACTGAGAACATTGATCTTAAAAAAAAAATGTGATCATAAAACTCACAATCTTTTGGTGTCTCCAGTAATATTCATCTGTTATGGGAGCAAAGTGTCTGTTTTTAAGATCTCTTGTCAATTTTAATTCTAAGTGCCAATCATACTTTGAATAAAATAAACCACACTTCATTTGATGTAGAGCTTGTTAAAAAGGTATTACAAAACATCAGTAGGTCACTCAAATGCCTGAAATACTGATCAAATTCTGATTTACACTGAGTTTAACTTCCAGTAAGAAAACAAGGTATGGAAAAACTAATTACAAAATTAGAAATGAAAAGGCTATCTGAACACCATTTAATTAACTCGATGCTCATGTAGAGATATGAAAAAAAAAGAAAGCCATGAAAACCTACTACTATCTGAAAAAGAAAGTGCAGCAGAACCTGCTGGAACTCCAATCACATAATCAGCTCATCCTGCAATCCATACAACTCAGCTTACTCTGAGTCCTGGGAGTCCAATCCAACATTTATTACATTCAGAATTACTATGTGGACTTTGTAGGCAAAACTTAAGAAAAAATTCCAATAATTCCAAGCCAGAACATATGCCCTACTAGGATCTCTCAAATGTATCTTTTTATTTTTTTACAAAATAGCACTTCTCTTTTACATATGTCATGAAAGCTCAGTTCCAAATATATAGAAAAAACTCTGGAAGCATTTATAAGAAAAGAAAAAAATTTTTAAATGTCAAATCTCCCAAATCAGATTAAACTAAATGAACAGAATATTAGAAGTAACCTCAAAAGGAAAGGGAACTGGAGTGTCTTTGCTTCACAAAGGATTGTCTTTGTGTGGTCTAAGAAGTTGAAAGCTCTGGTCATTATAAGCCTGAAAAGCTGTTTTAAAGGTGTAACACGAGAAGTAACCTGAAAGACTTCAACAATTAGTGTTTGAGAGATCAAAATCAAGTTAAAATAATACCAAACACTTATATGGTGTTTTCTACATACCAAACACTATTCCAAGTACTTTCCATATATTAACTCACATATTGGGTGAAAATAATTGATGGTCATGCTTTATAACCAGATTCACCTCTTGTGCTGGGTTTTATTTAACTCAGTGCTTTTACATAGTTCTTGGCAAGCTCTCAAACCCTAAACTGAAAGTAAACTACTTATTATAAATCCCCAAACAAAACAAACAAAAACAAAACAAAAAATCCCCAAACATACCAATGTTGCTGATTTTCAATCACTTCACTATTTCAACAATTTATTTTTCCTGGATGTTTTACCTCATTATAGTTATTTTAAAAGTTGAAGCAACTATAATCAACAAGACATGACTAAACATCATAAAACTAAGAATCTAAATCACTGACCTGTTAGGCTGAAACAGTTGGCATTCTAATATGCTGTTTCAATCAATTTTCATATATTAAAGTAAAATCAGTATTCATAAAATTCAACAGAAACACCACATGAAAAATAGTTACCTGAATTCGAATCTGGAAAAGACAAATAGCAAATATTGGTTTTCTGAAAAAGAAAACAAAAGCTATATATGTTGACACACACACACACACCAATAAAGATAAATAAATACAACAGTAAACTATAAAAGCAATATTTTTACTTACTTCTTTATCAGTAAGTTTGGAAGGCTGAGGATAAATTACCTAGGAGAAAAAGAGTTAAATTTTATACAAAATATATTGAGTGTATTTTATAAACATTAGTAGGTATTTTTAAAATACTAATTGTCTATCATCAAATAGTTTTAAGAAATAGTTACAAATTTTAACAATGTGAGAAGCTGGGAGAATTGAGTAGAACTTCTATTAGCAAAAACAAAAAAACACCTTTTTGATTCAAAGTTATCTCTATAAGATTGGTGAAATCTTCAGTTATCAAGAATAATTTACTAACTGAATTACCAATAACTCAAAGCTTAATGAGTCTTTTTTTTTTTTGGAAGCCTAAAATCTAAAGAAAAATTGATCTATCAGTTGGTATCTACTTCAAGCAAGAATAATTTTCAATTGATTCCAAGACGTAGCATAAATTACTAACTTCTTAAAAGAAAAATGAAAAGGAAAAAATTATCAGCAGTTTAAGAAATTTCAAAGTCCATCTCCCACCATAAAACCTATCCCACTTCCCTCCAATTTCTTTAAACCATCATTGTATTTTCCTAGGTAGATGGGTTTAGTGTCTGCAGTAATCAAAGCCACCTTCTGAAGGAAAATCATAGCCCCAGCAAAGGAAGGAAGACTAGCTATTGTGGGAACAAACACTAGTAAACACCAGATCCAAGGGCTCCCACCCTACAAGCAGGTCATCTGCCTGAATCTGGCTGTATGTGAAAATAATGCCCACAAGAATATCAGGGCTCCAGTGGACCAATCCACCAGATTCTCTTGGGAATCGAAGAAGAGATGGGATTAGGAGCAGCAGGTTAGCTAGAGACTGACAACAAAAAGGAGAGAAAACAATACAAAGAGTAGCTAAATTATGTTAATGTTGGGTTGCTAATGTGGGGATCCATGACTTCCACTTCTGGAAAATCCAAGAGTTCTTCCATTCTCCAGAACTGCTGAGAGCCTGAAAATCTTCCCTTTCCAAAAATAACATAGAGTATTATCATATTATAAACCATATTAAAGTAGATTCACATATTTATTTCATTTATTTAGTTCTTACTATCATAGACAAGGCTAGTAGTGATATCTCCATTTTACATATAAGAAAACTACGGTTAAAAAAAAAAGATGGGGAAAATTAGTACTTAATGAGCATCTTCTGGAGTTTTTAATTTTCACAACCCTGTCAATTCTCCCCATCTTTACCAAAGAGGGAACAAGTTCACGGTAGTTAAATAATTCTCCCAAAACTTATCTGTGTAGTAAGTGCCAAAGCTAGGATTTGAATTTAAGTTTGATTCCAAAGTATACAAGCCACCATTCCTCACTGGTCTTATAGTAGTGATCATTAACATGCAATCACAGCCCTCAATCCAGATCTATGGGGAGTGTCTACAGAACTAGTAGGTTACATGAAAACCACCCACCATTCCTGAAACAGAGAATAGCATATTCTCTCTACTTACCCTGCTTTGTTTCCCATGTACTGACCAACTTCACTTAATCTCTGTCTCCACAATTCATGAAGGCAAGAACTGGTCTTTTTTGTTCACCACTCTATCTTGACCAGAACAATCTCTGCTACACAGTAGACACTAAAATATGTGTCTTCAATCAGTGGATATACCTTCAAATTAAGTATTCAACAACTAACTATTTTATATGTAATTCATTCTATGTAGATACATTTCCCTTGAGAATATTTTACTTTGTTCCCTTTAAAGCAGAAATGGGATGCTTAAAACCTATTTAGCCATATTTTATTAAGATCTCATTGCATTTAAGTTACCCTGGAGTTTGCTGGTCTAAAACATATTGGTAAGCTTGGTCACCTATAATAGCTTAATCTTAGCTTCTAAAATAAGTTTTATGTAAGTGCCCTTCAGATTTTTATTTCCTGTGATTAAAATATCCACTCAAAAGTAAATACTCAGTTTCCTTTTCTAGAAATTCATTTCAATGTATTCTTTTTAGGGCTACCCAGTATTTTATTTTGAAACAGATATAATACTCAAAAAGTAACAGTGTATTATTATATGCTATAGAATTCCAAATGTCCACTCTGTACTTAATAGAAAAGTTCATACTTGATTTTAAAAACCTCGATTAAACTTCCTATCTTAAAAAAAAGTAACCATTGTCAAGTAGCTTGAACTGCACAAATGTCAGTTACTAGAATTATTTAAAATAAAAATGTCAGTTACTAGATGAACACCTATAAGGAAGTTCATCAACTATTGTTTAGCCCCAGTATCTGGAGAGCCTCTCCCTTGAAGTTTTCTTTCTCCACAGCTCAAGCGCAGGCATCTCTGTCCTCCAGGCCACTTGTATTCCTGAGAGGCATCAAAGGGGTACACAGAGCGTCAGCTAATGTCATCCTTGTTCTGTTATCTATGATAAGACATCCCATGTTACAACAAATAAGAGAAAGGTGGCCAAATAATAAAAAAAGTTTTATTTCATACAATTATTAAGGCCTAAAAATGATGACATAGATATATTTTTTACATTATGATAGAATAGGAAAACATACTGAAAAACAGTATTATGTTTTAAACGGGGCTAGTCTCTTTGAAGATATATCTACTTGCCACTTGCCCTGGATACCCTAACATTTCCACCTCAGTAGAGGAGTAATCATGGTTACAGGAAAAGGGTAATTAGGAAGACGAGTTAATTTACTGCTAGTATTACTTGGACATGAAAAAAATTCATGCCTATATGCACCTAGCTGTTTGTGAATGGGTATCTATTACCGCGTGGCTGACTATCTGTCTCTATTGCACAACCCCACCAAGCATTCCAGGCTTGGAAATACTACATTTCCCCAGAAACACCTGCCTTGATCTCTGATATTAACTCCTGCACTGGCTGGTATGGCTCAGTTGGTTGGAGTGTTGTCCTGTACACTGGAATCTTGTGGGTTTAATTCCCAGTCAGGGTACATGCTAGGTTGTGGATTCAATTCCCAGTCGGGGTGTTTTTGGGGCATGGGGGGCGGGGGGAGAGAAACACGGATGTGAGAGACACATCTATTGGTTGCCTGTTGCGCCCCAACCAGGGCCAGGGGTCAAACTTACAACCCAGGTACGTACCCTTGTCTGGGAATTGAACCCGAGACCCTTTGGTGCACAGGTCGATGTTCTAACCACTTAAAAACACTGACCAGGGCAGGAATAAATCTTTATGACCATGGATTAGCAATGTTCTCTTAGATATGATATAAAAATCACAAGCAACCAAAGAAAACATAAATATACTAGACTTCATAAAAATGTAATACTTTAGTGCTTCAAAATACACTACCCAGAAAGTGAAGACATCTCACAGAATGAGAGAAAGTATCTGCACATCATATATCTGATAAGGGTCTAGTATACAGAATATATAAAGAATACATTTTGCCCAGCCAGCATGGCTCAGTGATTGAGTGTCAACCTATGAACCAAGAGGTTATGGTTCAATTCCTGATTAGGGCACATGCCTGGATAGCAGGCTGGATCCCCAGAAGGGGGTGTACAGGAAGCAGCCAATTAATTCTCTCTCATCATTGATGTTCCTCTCTCCCTCTCCCTTCCTCTCTGAAATCAATTTATATATATATATGTATGTGTGTGTGTGTGTGTGTGTTTGTGTGTATATATATATATATATATTTAAAAGATATACAAATGGCCAATAAGCACGTGAAGAGACACTCAGCATCATTAGTCATTAGGGAAATGCAAATAAACTTTTAAGATACCACCTAATACTCACAAGAATAGCTATAATAAAAAGGACAGAAAATAGCAAGTGCTAACAGAATATGGAGAAATTAGAACCTTCATATATTGTTGATGAAAATGCGAAAATGCAGCCATAGTGGATAACAATTTAATAAACATAGTTACCATATGATCTAGTAATTTCACTCTTAGGTATATATCCAAGAGAAGTGACAACATGTGCAAACAAAAACTTGTGAATGAATGTTCAAAACAGCATAACAATAGCCAAAAAAGTAGAAATAATCCTTATTTCCATCGAATGATAAACAGATAAAATGTGATATAGTACATCAATACTCACTGTTAAATGGTCTACCCTCCCTACTAGATTGATATAAAATTCAACCATAGAAAGGAATAAAGTACTAAATACAAACAATGTGAATGAACCTTGAAAACTTTATATTAAGTGAAAGAAGCCAGACACAAAACGCACAATATCCATTATGAAATGTACAGAATAACAGAATCAGAAACAGAAAGTGAATTAGTGATTGCTAGGGGCTGATAGGGAAAAGGGAATGAGTCATAACTGAAAGAAGATAAGGGAAATTTCTGGGGCAGTGATAATAGCCAGGGTTTTTTTTAAATCCCATGGTAGTGTCATGGAATGTTCACTTCATAAAAATTCATTAAACTACAGATGTAGGATTTGTGTACTTTTCTATATGTTATACTTAAAATATTTATTTACTTATTTTTAAGATAAGTAAAAAAAATGACATCACAATATTAGGACAGGCTGGGCCTCAGTCTAAGATTCCAGCTCTCTCAAGATTGAAGGTAAATTATATCTCAGAAAGAGCTTGATCAATTTGAATAAGAAATGGACAGTGAAGCATTTTTCTCAAAAAAGAATAAAGTTTATATTTATATGTAATTGTCCTTGTTTTACATCAGGCATCTTAGTAAATACAAAAACATAAAGTATTTGTGAAAGGACTAACTGGACAAGAGAATGCCCCAGATTATTTTAAGATTGGGATTATACAATTTCATAACAGAATTAGAGATTAGTAACACCAAAGAAGCCTTTATAAAATCTGGGAGTCTAAGAAGTTCAAGAGGACCCTAAGGCTTTTAATTCTCAAATCACAGAATTATGAAATGCTACTAGTTCACAAGGGAACTTAAAGGCTATTATTAGTCCTATCAAAGCATTCACTGTTAAATAGCCTACTTTCCCAGCTAACTTGCTACCTGATGAAGAGGGAATGATCAAGGCTTTATCTCTAGAACATACCAGTGCCCAATAAATACCTGCTG